TTTTCCTGTGATTCACAGCTTGTTATTACCTATAAACTTGCCCCTCACCAGCAGCTCTCTTCACTGATCTTGTAGCTAAACTGCTGGGGGTTGCCCAACACGACTGACGCTGGAGCAGAAACTTGATGGTGGGTCCGTGCCCTGGTGGTGCATTGACCTGTCCCGGTGGTTCCTCTGGTGGCAGAGGAGAGCTGTGTCCATGCAGGTCAGCCAGCAGCATCCTAAGACACCAGGGGAGAATTCTTGACAGGCTGCTGTTGAGGATGAGTTGATGGTAACGTGCCGTGCCATATATTGGGTGCCATGGTGTGCCTGTGGCCACACCTTGGAATTGTTCTGTGCCGCAGGTCCCCAGTCCAGCCTCACCAGGCAGCAATGAATCAAGAAAGAGGAGAAAAAGGGAAAAAAAACAAAAGCCCTGAAACCATCAGGGTTGTTCTGGCCAGCTCTGAGCAGGCCCAGGGCTTAGTGCCTTTTGGAAAGGCTAGAGCAGGATATGAGCCCTTTATTAACACCAGGACCCCCAGCACAGCAACAGGAAAGGGGATCAGCCTTCTTTTTTGGTTTCCCTCCATGACTGCAGGGCTCGAGGATGCTGAAAAAATAGTGCAAACAGCCAGGCCAGGTGAGAGGGCAGGCGAACGCGTGCTCGCTGCGGGACGCGTGCTATGCTGCGAGTGTGGGGTGCGTGCCCTGCAACGCCGCGGCGGTGCGTTCGGTGTGTTGCACAGGCATGTGCTGTGCTGCCAGCGTGTGGTCCTGAAACCAATGCTTAAAAATTACTGCCCCTTGGCAGTTTCCCCTCCCGAGTCCCTTCTGAAGGCAGCACGCACCTGCGCCAGCACTGGGGAGGTGGTCCTGCCGCTCTGTAACCACTCAGGGCATTGCCAAAATTCCTGTTCCCCACATGCCCACGAAGGGTCCGGTCGCCACCTTCTCACCCAACTTTTTGCCACAACTCTCCTTCATCTGTGATGGAAACCAATCCAGCCACAAACCTCACCTTATCCCCTCACCTCCAGCACGCCCTCTGCTGCAGATGACAGCAGTTTTGAGTCCTCTGACCTCTCCTTTAGGAGACCAAGAATGGCCCCTTCAACCAGCCCGTGGGCACGGGACAGATTCAGCCGCCTGGCTTGAGCCCGAGGGTGGCAGAGCACTGCCACAGCACTGCCCTGCCGCAGGTCTGCTGCTTCCAGCAAAGGAGGGAGATGCAGGGAACTCAATTTACCAAGCTTAAAAATACAGTCTGGCCAAGGGAAGGGTTTTGCCCTTCTAGAATTAGTTTTTCCTATGTGTGGGTTATACTGTACATGAACAAGGTAAAGCCACTTGTGTCAGCATGGCTAAGCTTTAAAAACAAACAAACAAACAAAAACCAACCACCAAACCGAAATCAGGAACCTAGCATTTCAGCTCCTTCAGAGCATCAGCAAAGCCTGATTAAGGCAGCTGAATTAAGACATGAGCTTGCTCTGTTCCCATACAAGCCAGCAGGAAGCTAAGCCATCCCCCACTTGGGCTAACTCACCTTTTGGGCATCTCGGTGTCTGGGCAGGAGCTCACGCTGGCCTGCAAGGTACTGCGAAGCCATGTGCTTGTGCTCAGCTACCCAGTTCTGTAGAACAACAACTTAGCATAAACTGGCTTCTAAGCGTGTTTTCAGCCTAGCTGGTTTGATCCTGGCTTTCTATCAGGAAAAAAACTAGCAGGTTTTCTGCCAAGGAGCTAGTCAAAGGATGACCTGACTGCAGGTTGAAGGGAAAATGGTTTCTCAGGTTGCCAAGCCACTTGCATTCTCTCGTTTCGGCTAGCTTGTCCCCAGAGCACCTTCCTGGGGGTGGGGGGCAGCACTAGGTGGTGGTGCAAAAGGCAGGACCTCCTCTTGATCCTGTTTAAATCATTAACTTACACAACACAGGCAAAGGGGCCCACAAGCACCCAGACCCTGCCATCTCTATGCCAAGCTCGCAGAGCATCTCCCTTGCAGCCCATGGGCAGGCTCGGGTACCACTCCTGTTCCCTGTCCTTACACCGGCTTTATCATAAACTGCATACACACTGTGCACAAGACCAAAACCTGCCCCTTGCCCAGGTGATGACAGCCCCTGCCACCCTGCAGCCCTCCCAGGCCATGCCCCACGGTAGCGGTGCATCCTGCTCTTTGCTGCTCGGCCACTAACTGCGTGGCTCAGAAACCCAAATTCTGATTGACTGACTAAGACCACCTGGGGGGGGAGGGGTATTACTTATGAGAAAACATTTAATCAGAGAAGACGAAAGCTCACTTCTTAGGCAAATTTTTCAAAGCTGCAGCAGCTGCATATACAACTATCCCACAAGTTCATCGAGCGTTGTTTACCTCGATCCCTTGGCAAATACGAATTGTTCTGCATTAATAGGAGGCAAGGATGGCCAAGCCCCAGAAGGTGGGTTAGCAGCACGGGCTCAGGTTTTCAAAAAGGGCCAGGCTGGTGGAGAGATGAAAAGTCACCCTTGCAGGCTACACAGCTCTCAAGACATTTTCAGTATCCATACAGATGGTATCATAGCCTTAGGGATGATGGGTGAGCTAATTTTTATAAACCTCCTGTTAATTCCCCAAATGCGACAGCACCAGAGACCCTTTTGGAATGCAGAAGGAATTGCCACCTGCATTACCTCTGAAACTCAAATTTAAAAGCCGCAGCTTCCCTCAAGTTGCATTTCTCCTCACGTGGCAGGGAATATCCATTTCATGCCCGTCGGGCCCGTCCCACCAAGTCACAGAGAGGTCCAGCATTAAGTTTGACCCTCGTCTGTATGCGTGCATCTCCCACCTTGTGCTCTGCCCTCAGTGAAGCAGGCAGGGAAACGGATATTGTAAGTTGAAAGGGAAAAAGAACCCATTTCTGGAGCTGCCGCCCCTGTCTGCAGTCAAGTCTGCGTGTGCACGCACGTGGCATCAATGTAACCGGCTCCCCCAGACCGTGCTGGCTGGAGGTCTTGAAGAGTTCCGTCAGTGATGCTTGCACCGCTCCTGCCTTTAATTACAAATGGCTTTCATAGCCATTAATAAGTGGGCGATAGAAGCTGCTGGTTCCTTAATAAAGTTTATTTAATCATAACTATGCTTAGGAAAATACACTTGTAAGGTTAATATAATGCAATTTAGTTCAACTTTATACTACGTTTTGGACAAAAGAGTTCTTATACATGTTTTAGGTAAAAACAGGATGTACGCTCTGGCTTGTTTTACATCTATTACAAACGTAGAAAAGACTGTCATGCACTACAGTAGAGAGAGCATGAAAAAAAAATTACCTTTGGTTTAATTCAGAGAATACAAGTATTGCACTGTAAAAGCATCAAACATGGTGCAACTAAACATCATAAACACGTTCTCATGCCAGCTTACAAAAGTCTGTTAGCTAGTGTAATTTTAGAGGGGGAAAATATATGTACATATAAAACAATTCCATCAGCTATTTGGATTCTGTTAATATTGTATGCACGCCACGTATCTACATGACTGACATTCAAGAGAACTCTTGAATTTGATTTAATACCTTTCAGCTACATTAAATCTGTTGAAATCAATGACGTTACCCATACCTTAACTGGCCTGTCAGCTGTGAAACATTATTCTTCTTTAAATGACTAAAGTTCCAGCCTAGATCACCAAAATCCAGAAACAGCAATTACGATACTGTGGATTATTATTAATGCCTAGCTACCCACTTCTAGATCACTTCTCAGGGCAGTTACTTTGAGTGTACGGATCCATACAGCAAAAGCCCCAACCACCACCTTGCTCAACCCAGGGCCGGCAGTGTAGGGCTATCAGTGTGCTAATCCTTCCCACCACCTACTGGAGGTGGAACACTCGTACAGGTATCATTGCCAAGAAACACAAAAATGCTAGCACTGGCAAAAACAACACAAAATAATTTAAGAATATTGAAAAAGACAAAAAAAAAGAAAAGGTATTGTTTAAAGGGAGATACAGCAATGTAAACCCGCTGTATGGGGTGGATTAGCTGACCTGCACCCCCCCTCAAATACTCAGTATTAGCAATGTCTAACATTTTAGTTACACATAATGCATTACATCCTTGCTGCTTTACCGTAACATACTCCCAAGCCTTGGTCTTAACCAAGCAGAGAATTCCAACACAGTTCTGCACCAACATTAGGTATTTCAGGACATTGTTGATGGGTCTCAGATAGAAACAATTAACTTTTCTTCTTCTTAATATGTTAATAATTTATTTTCAGTTTCTAATCTTGTGGTAAGAAACACTGCCGAACTGGAGCCGACTGTCGTCTTCAAAGAGCTCTTGTCAGATCATGCATTGAAACCTTGACCACTTCACAGAAATGTGCAGCAGAGCATCTCAGAGAACCACATCTTTGTTTTCATCTCATAGAGAGAGATTTTAAGTCAGTCAACATCATTATTTTCATTTAAGAAAAAACGAGAAAAATTATCAGGCCAGTCCACAAGGTATTTGAACACAGCTGAAGTCCTTGAAGTCTCTCACGAGATGGCAAAGGCTCCTCGCAAAGATATGAAGGGAGCTATAAAACCTCTACACAGTACTGGAATTCCCAGCATCTGCTCACATCGCTCACAAATGGTGGCAACATAAAGGAAACACTATTATGAAGAAAAAAAATACATCTAAGACTACTACAACTCGTTGTTTAGGAAAACAATTCAACTAGGTTTATTTTCTTAATGTTTAACATAAATATAGTTGCAACTTGATCTTCAGTTGACAATGATTGTCGCAGCCAAGGTAAGGATTGAAGACTATCTAAGCAAACAAAAACTCACTGTACATTATACAATTTATTTCTGCCACGAGGGATGCCTTCCCTCTTGAATCTTTGGCCTCCTATTACCAATCTCTCCCAAAAGCAGAGCAATGTAGCATTGTTGCTCTCTATTCATTCAAGGCAGTGGGTTTGTTTGGAGGGGAAGATGCTGCGGGGACATGCAGAGAAGAATAGGGTTTATTCCAGAGTTTACATTGAGAGTACTTGCCATAAAGTGCTCTGACAAATACCGTCTGAACTCCTCAACTGCACTCTCCAGATAACACCTGCCTCCAAATTTGCTTCTTTGGAGTTGACAACCAGAGAAGCTGCCCCCAGTCGCTCCCACGGGACAGGCGGCTAATGACTGTCAGAAGAGCGCACTGAGGCGACGGGAGGGTTTTGCTTTTTCCTGACGGTTTGGATTTTGTTTACCTTTTGCCACTGGCTGGCTACAAGCAGTAAGCATGCGATCTCTCTTGTGTTTGTGTGTGCCAGAAATTAAATCTGTTCAGAATTAAAAACTCCTGGTATGACATTTCTTGCACGTAGACCTGCCTGAGATGACAATCCGATCACTTATGTGTTTTGCTCTGCATAGAGGCAGGATGATTTTATTAAATGCAGCTTGAATGAATAAGGAGCAGGAATTCCTACAGTTTTTAATGCCAGGTTTGTTGCTTACCAGTTGATTTACCTTTATTTGTATTTTTGGTGTGTGAGATGTTAAGATTTTGATGAACCATATTTCTATCAGTGCTACTATTTTGTTTTTTTAAGAATCATGTGGACTTGCAGAATCTGCAGACCATTTCCATTGAGAGCAAGTATTTTCCTGTCTGGTGATCGCAAATTACAAATTAGAATTTATTACTCTGTACGTGTAGTCAAAATATCAGAAGTGGCGTTTCCATGATAAAACAAATCCTATAAAATAGTGTTTTGAAATTGCATTGATATTCTTTTGCTCAAGAATTATACCATTTTAAAGCCAGTCAAAAATACATAGCCAAGCACTTAATAATTTCAGCAACTTCATGCACAACTAATAAGACCCCGGGAAACAAGAAAAATCTTCAGTAAAGAGCATCACAGAAAACTGTTTCGTGGTAAGCAACGAATCTGAATGTTTCCAAGTAATAATAATAAAAAAAAACAACGTACACAAACAAAACCAAACATGCATATATAAAGTGTACATGTACTGCACAAGCGCTATTCCTAAAGGATTAAACTGCATAGGTAAAAATCGAAAACAATGTGCAATATTTTAAGCCCTTAAAGCACAATAAAAAAAAAAAAAAAGCAGAAATTAAAAATAACAAACTTGCTCCCCCACAACAAAGCCGATTACATATCATAGTCATTAAGATATTAATCAAGACAGAGGTTCTCCAATCAAAAGTTGGAAGGACTACTCCTAAGTTTTGGCTCACCATTCATGCTTAGGGGATCTGAAATGTACGTTCACAATTATAATTATCTTAAACAGTTATGTTCATCACTAGCCAACTTTGATTTCTTTTACAAAGTGCTCTTTTATTTAATAGAAGCTATCTTCCTGGTAGAAAAACCATCAAGTAGTTTAACACTTTGAACATCAAGACACACCAAGAAGAACCAGAAAAAAAAGGGGGGGGGGGGGGAAGGGAAGAGGGGAGAGAGAGAAGGAGTTGGCTGCTAGAACAAAAAGCAACTAATGCCAATGGCTCTATAAACATCCAACTTGTGTATTGTTAGCTACATTCTTGTTCCTAAAACTCAATTTATAAAAGAACTGCATAGGCTAATAGACTAGAAGCTTACACTGACTTCACAGAACACAGCTTCATACACCCTACCTGCCTTCTCTAATTAAGAGATCCAATAGTTAATGAGTTCACCATTACATAAAGAGTTGTCAAAAAATATTTTCAACTTAAAAAAACCAAACAAAAAACAAACCAATGCAGACACTAAAACAAACCGTGCTTAAAAAAAAAAACAGAAAAAAAATCTACAATATCTGTACATAAGCTGTATAAGATCTTACAAAAGAAGATTCCCCCAAACCACAGCTATTTCTACTCCTGCCCTTTTGTCGCCTTCTCAAGGTAATACACGTTGACTAAGTGGCGATTGAGGTGCTTGCTGTATTCACCTTCCTTTTTAAATGAGCGGTCACAAAATATGCACACATAGTTCTCCCTGGCCACTGTGGTGCCTGCAGCTCCTTGTGACGCCTTTGGACTCGTTTCTTCTTGTACGGAGCGAGCACCGTTTAATCCCGAGTCATCGCTTCCTTCTGATATGTTGTCACTTATGTCGCTGCCTTCGTGGCTGTGTATGCCCTCGTCCTCATCCATTTCCTGAGATTCATTCACTGCTGTGTTATCCGGAGATGATAAGGAGGCCAGAGCAACTTTAGGGCTTTGCATACACCCTTCTGGAGGCACAGGTGCCGGCAAGGAATCTCCTGTTGGCTCCGTTGCCGGCAGGCACGTCTTAGTCAGGTCCATTGGCTCTGAGTTATTCACAGCTTCTGCCATGCAGGTTTCTGCCATGCAGGTATCCTCTGGCTCCTTCTCAGGTGCCAGATCTGGTACCACATCCATGGGCACGTCCAAGCTTTTTTCAGAAGACACTGCATGGGAAGATTCCTCAGGGCAAGTGTCCTGCCCTCTGTCCGCCTTTCTCTCCTCTTCTTCACCAACAGTGTCTTCGCTCTCTCCTGCTGCAGCAGGCATTTCTTGGTCCTCTACCTCAGCTTCTGTGTTTGCATCCTGAGCTGGCAGACAAAGCTGCCCTGGGCCTTGTATGCAGCTTCCTTTGGGATCGGTGCTCTCCCCCTTGAGAGCATGGCCACCATCGTTGTTTAATGCCGCCGTGTCAGTGGGATCGTCCTCCTTCTGGACGCTGCCCTCAGTGTCAGGCTTCCCACATCCATCCTCTTCTGTGCTAGGACACTCGTCTGGCATCTCCTCATCCTCGATCTTCTCCTCATCAAGTTTACTGCTTCTCTTACCGTGCTTATTTTTCAGAGCTTTCTTTTTTCTGTTTTTCTTGAGGCAAGAATTTTGCTTTTTAGGCTCCTCCTCTGGTACAACGTCACTTTTTTGAACTTCCTGGCAGTCTCTGCGTTTAGTTTCCACTTTCTTTTTCTTTTTTGTTACTGCTGAGGTATCATTTGCAGGCTCTTGCTTTGAGGAAGTTACTTCAGCCTCTGCTTTTCTTTTGATCTTTGTTTTACACATTTTCTCAGTATTTTTCTCAGTTTTAATATCTACCTCCTTGTTTTCTGAAGCTGATTTCCGACTTCTGGTTGTCACCTGGCCTGCAGAAACATTGCTCGTCGGTTTCTTTTCCTTTGTCAAATTATCTTTTTTCTCCACTTTCACAGTTTTCTCAGTTTTCTTCGCTGCTGAATCTCCTTTCGTTTGTTCCTTCTCCGCTTTGTCATTAATGTTCTCAGAAAAGTCAGCTTCGCTCTTTTTAGTCCGTAGCTTCACCTTGGAAACATCCATGGTGATGTCAGAACAATCGGGATGCCTCGATTTGATGTGATACTGCAGGTTACATTTTTTAGATGCTGCATAATCACAAACAGGACAGAGAAACTGGCGCGGATTGACGTGGAGCTCAACGTGCTTTTTGAAATTGCTGCGGTCAGCTGTTTTGTAGTCACAGTGTGGGCAAGTCAGAGGCTTCGGCCCATTGTGAACCTGCCTTGCGTGACGAGTTACTTCATGCTGGTTTGAGGCCACATAGCTGCACTGATCACATTTGAATGGCTTCTCACCTAAGGAAGGAAGGGTGGAAGGGAATGATGGTGATTATTAAGCACGGGGGGTGCGGGGGAGAAATCACTTCCCACTAATACAGATACAGAAATATGAAACTCAAAAATTAAAAAAAAATCCATGCGCCTTTAAAATTAAGTAAAGTCAACATAAGAAATCCACAAGTCACAAACACATTCACAAGACACCAAGAACAAAATACAAAAAAAAAAAAAAAAAAAAAAAAAAAAAAAAAAAAAAAAAGAGAGAAAGGGCAAGGTTTGGGAGGAAGGGGATCCAAAACCAAACAAGCAGTAACAACGTCACAGGTTCTGGCTATGCATACATACCGGCAGAGATCTCTCTACAGTAATATTAGCAAATGGAATCCATACCCAACTGGTCCATTGAATGCATTGTAGAAAAATGGAAATGTAACATTTGATGAATAGCAGTTTCACACAAACGTTTCAAAAAAGTCCAACTTTACATAGATTTAGCATACTTCATGTTTGCATTGAAAAGGAAATGAGGGAAAAGGAGCTAGCAAAACCCAAAGCACATGAAAGGGACACACTGCTCAGATGATCTTTACCTCTGATAAGTCAGTTCACTGTTACAGTGTCTCAAAACACATGATGTACTGGCTGCAGGCTACTCTTGGCAAGCCTACCATATGCAGTCCAAAGCCATCATATTACTACCAAAATCTGGGTTTACAGTTTTGCAATGACTCTTGCAGAAGTGTTCCCGAAATGTTCTGCTTAGTGCAGTGCCACTGCAGCAGAAGTGGCTTTCCATTTACACATCAAAGCAAATAGGAAGAACAGTTCTAGCGCAACAACTCAAGTCCAGAAATACTTGGAGAACATGTGTGCATGTGCAATTTCAGCTGAGCAACTTGGGATACTCCTGAGCTCTGAACCAGCATCTCAGAACTAACCTGCAGACCTAATGCATGCCGCTTCCTAACTACGTTGGAAATCCACTCTGGCCCCTTCTGCTCAGGGTACTATAGTACTTCTCCCCCCTCTGCAGCATGGCTCAGGAGGCCAGAGCAGCCTGCAGTGAAGATGGGGTCACGGTGACTGTGGTGTCTCTTTGGGTGTTAGCCACGTGGCTGATCTGCAACGCCCTCACAAACTATAGAAAAGGCTGTGCTGCCTCCCTGGCAGGAAGCACAGGTACACTTGTTTCAGAGTCTAGATCATTCCACACCTGCCTGCAGCATCTCTTCATTATTTAAAGAAGGGTTACTTTGATTCCCTGTCATCTTCGGCCTATCTTTTTTTCCTTCCTTCCTTTTTCCCCCGACTTCCTGGTCACATTTTCAACAAGTTTAAGCTTGACGTGCTACACTGCTCATCCTTCTCGCAAGCATGGATCTTTACTGCCTACACTTCGAGGAACAGTTCCATGTTACACAGAGGGGGGACAAGAACAGCCCCTCTCTTACGTACACATGAACAAGCTGTTCTAACTGCACAGAGTGCTCAGAGGTAGCTGCAACAGGGTAACTCAAAGGTTGTTATGTAAAGAGTTTGCGTCCATCACCTCTAAGTCCAGGGGCTTTGTTGCACAAGTGGAATGGACATGTACCAAGATGGCTAGGAATACAGCTGTGAAGTAGGCTCTAAACCACTGTCATTCACTATCTGACATCTGAAGAAAGCTCCAGCACCTGTTTGCCTTAAAAGGCCAGCCTAGGAACTGCAGGAGTCCAGAAATTGCCACGGAAAAGGTTCAGCTGCCTGTGCAATGTGGCAAGACATGCAATAGAAGTTATGAGAGCTATTAATAAAACAACCCTGATAGCAAGAGTCCCATGTGCACTCCCACTTCTGTCAGCACAGCTCATGCCCTCCCTCCCTCCCAGACCTTTGAGTCAAGGGGCAAGGGCAGATCCCACTCCTCACCTCCTTCGGATTTGAGACTTCTTTGCACAGAATAAGAGAATAAGATGTTCATGAAATCGTTTCCGGGCTCAGTATCAACCAAACCATTTGCAAATTCACATTTAGCCCAGGGGTTCAGCCAAAAATTATTTTTGTTTCTGGAAGCAGAACACTTAATTCACAAAATTATCAAACCAAAATACTGGCATAATTTTAAAAGCTGGCTATTTTTAATGGGTCCAAACCTCCCATCCACAACAAATAAAATTGCCTGCCTTCTGCTTTAAATGAAAAGCCTCATCTATTGAAACTGAAACAATTACTGATCAGGAGACTTTCACTACTGTTTGCTAGGATTAGGAATTCTCCTAGGTTTGGTCAATGCAGATAGTAGAAAACAAAAAGCACAGGCTAAGATCTACGTGAACTCCCCTACATGGGTCACAAAGGACAACCGTGCTTGTGTCTAGCATGCCTATGCTGTTGCAGCTCACAAAAATGCTATTAATTAATTCAAAAAGAGATTTGCAAGAGAGAGACCAGATGTTTGTAACACCACAGCCTATGACTAGTAATGGGAAATAAAGGCTAGTGAAAATTGCTAATTTGGCTTTTAGTGCCACAAGACTGAGTCACTTGTGAACACCCTCGGAGTTTGCTTTTTTTCTCCTCTGTGTCGCCTTGCCATAAGCACACACTATTTTACGTCTTTCAGTAACACTAAGCAAAAACTAAGGGTTCCCTCAGAACCCCTGGATGAGATGAAAATGCAGACATCAGAGAGGAGAGATTCAGCTGCTCGAAGTTTTCCCAGCTTCATTGATTTGAACAGAGTTACGCCAGGAGACAGAAGAGAAGAATCTGCTCCTATATCATCACAACATTGTATTTGCTAATGGATTACTAGGACTACTGGAACAGCCCTACGAACCTCAGAACGCACCTTGGAAAGTAAAAGGGAAAGAAAAAGATATATGCCCCTGTTACCACTTTTATTAATGACACAGCATTTTCTTAGCAGGTAAAGACAACCCTCCCTGATAAAACAAGAGCTAAAGCTCAGGCTGTACTGGACGACATCTCACACAGAACTGGGCAGCCCACCCTAGGTGGCCCTGCTTGACGCGGGGGGCTGAACCAGATGAGCTCCGGAGGTCCCTTCCAACTTTGACTATGCTGTAAGTCTGTGGACCACCCCCTTTTCCTGAGTCATGCTGCTGCCGCCCCTTACCAACCTGAGTGGGTGCGCATGTGCCTGGTTAAATGGGTCTTCTGAGAGCTGGAATAAGGACACATAGCACATTGATAGGGTCGCTCTCCTGCAAAAACAAACAGCAAATTAGTTATTGCAACACAGCTGATTCCCAAACTTGGTTACCGAGCCATACACTGAGGCTGTCACAGATCCCCAAGTTGTATTTGAGGGCACATTATCTCTTGGTAAAGGGCCACAGTGAGAAGCATATGCCTGAGCTGGACCAGCGCAGTGTGTCATGCCTTATGAACGCGGGTAGTGAAGGGGCAGAATGTGAGAGGCACATCCTTGTGTCCATCTGGGGTCAGATCATAACCTGGGGCAAAAGGTGATTAGGACAGCCACATTTAGGAAGCCCTAAGCCACCAGAACTGACTTTCCTACAGTATTTTCTCCCCAGCACTCTTGAAGGTGCACAAAAGACACAGACCCTGTAAGAAACCAAGTATGTTCTTGCTTCTCACAACACCTTACCTGAAACCTCCATGTTTAATTTGGATTAAGATGGGGAGCAACCACCCATTCAGCGCAGACCTGCATTTGCCAGAACACAAGCACAGATAGACACTGGGTCTCTAATTCTGAAGTTTTACTGGCAGAGTGAAATTAGCTTGGAGCGTGGAAAAGCATGATGCCCTTGCTCAGTGAAGCTATGCTGCTAGCAAAAGCTCAAGCGTAGCAGCAACATTTATTTCTGAAGACTCAAATCCCTCTGCCTGCAGAGTTATTGTTTCTGGAGAACTAATGGAAACTAACCTGTCACAAATTAGGTCTCCACAAGGGACAGTTAGCTTGTGTAACTAGCAGTACAATGATACTTGAAAATCCTTTTCAAGTGAAGACAAGCCCCAAATAAAGGCAGACAGTTTTAGAATTAACATCTGTTCGGCAGGTTCAGATAAGTACCGTCGGTGTCTGCCCCAAACTGCGAGCACAGCCGAGAGATCTAGGCTGCCTTGTGTCCGCTACGAGTTGTAAAAGCACTTTTTAGTCTAGGGTGGATACCCCCAACAGAAGAGGGGAGTGATGCTGGGAAGGGAAAAGTAATATTTATTATTCGATTTTAATATTTATTCAAGTCATGGTCAGAATTACACTACAGCATCTTGCTCCATCAGTTGAAGCATACGACCAATGTGCTCTCCAAATCACTGAGACCTGGACGTCAGCAAAAGCCCTGTGTACAGGCTGTTTGTTCACTTTCAGAGGCATAGCTCTATCTGCAGCAGCAAAGACCTTCATCTATCAGTGTGTGATGGGAGGCTCCACTGCAGGACTTTGCCAAAATAGCGGTAGAAGCGGTCTTTGTAATGCAGACTAATCCCACCTTTCTTCCTCCCATCAAACATTTAGACTACATTCTTGATTAGGTCAGCAGTTTAAAGGTAAATTCACCCTAACAACCATACCCGCCTCCCTCCCTTTCCAGTTAAAACAAGGTAGGAGATTGGTGCAATACACACAATAAGATTAAGTCATGTACAAGGGAAGGGTAGATCTTTTGTTATAAGGCCTTACAATCTCAAAATATGTGGCCAAAGGTCCTGGAATATTCAGCCATGTCTTCTTCCCATTACCTGAAATTTCATATCTTTAAAGCTACCTACAATGTTAGGAATGTGCAAAAGGCTTTCTGTCGGGTGTATGATATAGAGCACAGCAACAAAACGTACTAGATTTAAAGTATGATGAATGCAACTAATTTGAAGTGTTATTGCCACTTGAGAATTAAATGCCTGACTACATTGTAAGGGCTGTCTTATAAAATGCTATTCCCCAAAGGATTTTTATTGTAATTTTACAGGCTCATTATATGCAAACAAGCCACCAAAAAAACCTCTCCACAAGACACTTGAAGAACAAGCACTGACCTAGCAAAAGCTTAAGCAGGCACTTAACTCTATGCAAATGCACAAACAGACCAACATCAGTGAATGAGTTGAAGATCATCTTGTAAAGCTTTTCTTGTAATGCTATTAAAAGTTCTGTCTGCTTGAAATGAAACTGCTTCCATCAAACTTCCAACTGAGTGGCAAGCAAGGAAGATCCCCTATGACAACCAAAATTAAAAAAAAAAAACAAAAAAAACAACCAAACAAAAAACCATGACAGCCCACAGCTAGGCACTGAACACTGCGACTACTTACTTATATAGCCCTGCAGATGATTTTCAGCTAAGTTTTCTACAAATTGCTTCCAACAAGTAAAATGGAAAAAATTGAGAACAATGCTGCACTGTCTTGCACATAGTATGGTTCCAGGATCAGCAGATGGGATAAATCAAGTCAAAACTTGGTCTAACACTTCTAATGTGCACAAACGAGTCCAGGTAGATCTGTCCCTGACACAAAGGGTCCTTTCTGCCCCATCAGCAGAGGAAGGGACAGCCCTGAACATCTCCAGCCACCCCCTCCTGGACAGCAGACAGGCTCTTCCAGATGTAGCTCTCTCAGCTGACAAGCTTATGACCATCGGCAGGGTCCTTAAACCACCCCTCCCTTTGCTCAAGGGCCCCCACATTTGTCAGAAGCCTGCCACACCAGCACTGTCACAAGCCACAAGTATCTTCCAGTACAGGGCGGGTTCATGGACACCTGCTTTCCAACTGGGATGCAAGCAGCAGGCAAGCAGATAACCTCCCGCCAGCCTTCCTGTGGCCCCCCAAACATGCCAAGGATCGGTATGTCTCCCACCATGCAAGGTACAAGCAGGCAGCCCCCCTCCCTGCTCCTGGCCATGTGCTCTGGCATTTGTATGTGTCCTCACTAAGTCGATTCAGTTCACTAACCAGCAGAAAACCAAGCTGGGGAAGAGGAAAGGAATATTTTATTGCCATTACAGTGAGCTGAAACAACCAGTCCCAGGATACAGGGACAAAACTTGAGACTGCCTTTCTCCAGCAGCAGCAGCAGCAGGGCGTTTGATCCAGTGAAACTGCACTCCGTACAGAGTCAGTGTTTCAAAAACTGGACGGCTCAAACAACACAGCAGAATCCAATTATCTGCTAGGAGGCATTTTCCCACACAGAAAAACAGCAGGTGAAGTACAAAAAATGGGAGAGAGAAAAAAGTATCTATCCAAAATTATTTAACCTATTAGCAATAAGGAAACTAAAGAAACAAACAATACCAACTTTCTTATTATTATTCTGAACTCATAAAATAGGAAGAAAAAACTATAACCCAAAGATATTTTAGTATTATTCAGTTTTTATTCAATTCAGTACTTTAACAGTCTGCAAATACTTTTGACTATAGAATATCTGTGGGTGTTTTTTCTGGTTTTTAGGGGGGGTTATTTGTTCGTTTGGGATTTTTTTGTGCATTAGGGTTTTGTGTTTTTTTAAGGCAACTGATTACAAATTAATACCAGCAGAAACGTTTAGCCTGGTGTATAAATATACCTGCCAGTAGCTTATTCATTCATCTAATACTCTTCCTTTAGCTTTAACACTCTCCCCCACAAAATCAATGTTACCGGAAACAAGGCGCATTCCTAAATGAGTCTACTAACATATTTGAAAGATTTTTATCAAGTGAGAACTGGCTGAAAGACCTTAACGTTTAGGTAAGAGCCAGCAAAGAAACAACCACTAAGGTGGACTAAAAAATGCTGAAATCATAATTACTCATTTCAGCTTAATTAAAATAATGAAAAGACATGGCAAACCAAAAAACCAGAAACCTTGACTGCACCACTATTTTTAAAGGAGACAAGAGGAACTGGACAATATCCTATGTAGTTTAACATGCTTGATTTTTTTTTTTTTTCCTGATTTTAATACAGTTCACTGGTAAACTGGTCAAATGCGGTGACAACAGAGCACTTCCTCAGCAAACATGCTTTCATGGTGAGCTCCTGTAAAACTCAACAAGAGCTTTCAGAGATCAGAGGGGAGGACCTAATGTCATGTACAAACACAAGCAGGGATGAATTTAAAGTCAAGACAAATGTAAAACACACAGGCACCACAGCATGGGCTCACATTTGACCACAAGTTTCCCGGATGATTTATTTTGTTTTCTCCTATTATTCTGTCATTTTTACCTGGTCTCTTTCCTGTTATCTCCCACAATACACACAAAGGAAACAAACTGGAGGATAAACCACACCATTTTCCTAACACATCTCACAATAATCTTTGTTCACTTGTTTAGGAAAAAAAATACTTAGACGGGTCTGATTTTTAAACCAATGGTATCCTCTAAACAACGGCACGTGGCTATTGTTAAAAGAAGAACATGCCTTAACGTACAAAAAATCCCAGCAGACCCTCCCAACCCCGTCAAAGCAGACACTACAACGTGCTGATGAACACAAACTCCCGCACACTTGAGCTCAAGCCCAGCCCCGAGGCCTCTGGAGGCCGGCCCTCCCTTTCCAGACAGCTGCAGACAACTGAACCGAAGCCTCCAAACCATTCATGTCACTTGCTGTGACAAAACATGACTTCAAAGGAGAAATTCCCTAGTGTTTTGCTCAGCCGGCACAGCCTACAATACAGGGGAACCAAGTCAGGTCAGCATGGCTAGAAGATGGTTACAAAGTCTGCCCTCAGAAAGCCTTGACAAGGTGGAAATAAAAACTTCTGAGAAGCCACAAAAACGGTCTGAACTACCCTCCTGCTTCCACAAAAGGCATCGGGAGGCAAAGCAACTGTACCTCACTGCCTGAAGAGACGAGGCAGCTACAATGTCCCCTCCTAGGAAGAAGTTTGGGTATGCTTCAGGACTCCCCAGGTGAGAGGCTGGTGAGGTGCTCTGGTACCACTCAAGGTTATTTCTTAGATCACCTGCAGCCCCAGCTCACGGGAGGGCAGAAACGCTGGAAGTCCTCAGATTCCTCTTGGTGTAAACCAGAGTCAAAAGGGGCCTCGCTTTTCCTTGAGCTTACAAACTGACGTTAGGAGAAGACAGGAAATCAGGCCAAAGACTCCCTCGAGGGCTTCCCATGGGCCAACAGAAGTATGTGTCTGCTGCTAGCTACTGGAGCGATGCAGACCTTAGAGAAAACGAGGCCCCTGTACATTAAGAGGAATTAATTGACTAGGACCACTACTCAGCTCTTACTCGGAGGCTGTAGATGCGGGAGGGCTCCTTTTGCACGTGTGCATTGTCTCTTTCTTCTCTGTAATTACAGCTTAGTCAAGCTTCAGCTCGGTCTGAAGGCACCGCTTTCAAAACTACCTATGTGATTTAGACACCTTTTGTCAACCTGCTTGTTTTGTTTTTACAGTACATCAGGCTTCCGTGTTGCAGACCCTGACAATCATCACAGGCACGCTCCGTTTGCTCCTCTTCAAAAATAACATTGCTAAACAGGATGCTGCCCGTCTCCTCTCGGGCCCCTGATGTTAAGTGATTTTCTCAGTCCTCTAGGACTGCAGTGAGGAGCTCAAACCAAATCCATGCTTCCGTATGAGGCTTTGACCTGGTAGTACCAAGAGGAGAGCGTAGAGCTTTATCAGGGTGGAACAAACTTTGCAAATAGAAGACTCTCGGCTTGCTTCATTCATCACAGTTTCTCAGTACTCATACCGCGCTTAAATTAAAAAAGGTGAGAGACTTACCTGTGTGAGTTCGAATATGTTGAATATAATTGTTCTTCCTGTCTGAAAAATAGGAGCATTGTGAGCAGGTATACACTTTCCGGGGAAAATGATTTCTTAGGTGTTTCTTCCAGTGATATTCACTGACGGTAGTATAAGTGCATATGGTACACTTGTAGACTCTCTCATTTTCCCCTGCTTTGTTGTGGTGCTTCAAGTGAGCCAGATAGTGATCATATCTGTTAGTGTTATAGCCACAACGATCACAACGGATTGGGCCCTTAGAGAAATCCACCTCTTCTGCGGTGCAAGAATCAGAGTCCTTCACCTGGGCTTGCTTTTCTGCATTTTCTTCCACAAAGAATTTCTTGGCGCTGTGAACCCTGATATGATGCACAAACTCCTCTTCAGACTCTGCCTCGTACTGGCAAGGCTTACAACGAAACGGCTTGCTCTTCAAGCTCTTAGATTTGTCCTCTGTGCTTTCTGGAGTACCTGGTGCTTCCAATGGGACATCTTTGTCCACGCTGGGAGTCTTAGGAGGGGGGCAAGCAGCTGGACCTTGGGTTTCCACACTAGGAACTTCAAGAGAGCTTAATTCCACATTTTCAGGTGCCTCGCGGTCAGTCTCTGCAGCCTGGGTATCTTCCATGCCCTCTCCATCGCTGTCTGAGAAGTTGCTGTCCCCCACCGTTGTCAGCTCAGCCATTTGTCTCTCTTCTCCAACCAGGTAATCGCAACAGTTGCCATTGACTTCTCCGGTCAAGGCCACATTTGCCAACATAATAAGCTGAGGAGCTGCCAGCTCAGCTTTAGAAAGGTCATGCAAGTCATACATGTCATTGGACAATGCCATACCGATATTAGCACTGCCAGGAAAGAGGCTGTTCCCACCAGACTGTCCCAGCACTTGCGTTGCCATGGCAGTAATTCTGTTGGAAGAGAAACAGAACACCGGGTAGCAGAAAAGCCTCCTCTGCTTTGCACTGTCCAAGCAGCCCCCCAGGTAACACCAGAAAATTAAACCTCTTCACGGAGGCACCGGGGCAGCGGGAGGCAGAACCCGGGCTGAGA